CTACTGAAGGACTTGAGATCCGTTCATAAAGTACAGCCAAACATCGGGCATCGCAACTATCCCGACCTTACATCCTAAACCCTGAAAAACAGGGGTTTGATACTACAGCGTCGCCTCCGTGTTCAGCGCCTCATACTTACCTCAGACAGGCATTGTGAGGAAGACCAGGCTAAATCCCTGCGCTCCAACAAGCAAGAAGCAAGTTCTGAATGTGCACAGACTGTTGGCCGCAAGGTAGGCCCAAACCAGTACTGTTGCCGAAGTGTCATCACCCCATGAACGGCTGATCGTTGCCTTACTCGTACATAATCCTACCAACCAGGTCCCCTGATCCAAGAAGAGACTATGGAATGCTGGAGCCGAAAACTCAAAATCGAAACTCTTGATTCAGGTCTCTTGGATCCCTATGTACAGCATCTGTGGAATTCGGTCCCCGAGGAGAGGAAAGATAACACATGTCTCCCAAGAGTCAACACTTTCTACGTGGAAGGCAAAAGTTCGCTGATTATGCTTCGTGCTGCACATTCCGTTTGCGAGGCACTTCAGAACCCTAACTAGGCATGAAGGGTAAACTTTCAGACTTGTACCAACATGTAAGCATGCAGCAGTTTCAAAGACAGGTTTCTGGTACAGGACAACCCAGACGAGCCGTTCGAATCCCTGTAGAAGGCCAATGAAACTCTAGGACACCCTAAAGGTCCAGAGTACGTTCAGGCTTGTGGGTGTTGGGTTTAGAGGCGAGTGCCGAAAAGCCTTTGACACGGACCCTTGAGGAAACACCCTACAAAGCACTCGGATGGGGAACAAATCTTTTGTGCAGAGCAATGGCGGCGGACGTTGGTGCGGCTGCACGAGCACCCCATCTGCGACCTGTCTTTACCGGGCACTGGCTCAAAGCGTTAGTGGTAGTAGCAGCACTCAGGGGGCTTAGAATCGGGAGGGGGCAACTCTGCTGGCACCCTCTTTGCGGCACAAAGAACAAGCATGTCGAATAAGCTGAAAGCACCTCATATCGACTTGCTGAACTCCCGGCCCAACGCTTCTAGCTTCTGTTTCTTTCAACAACGACTCCTCGACCTTGAAGCTGGAGAGCTATCTGGATGGGTAGCTCTGTAAATTAGTGTCCCTTTGAGGGTCCTTTTGTCCAGACTTTGGATCGCCCTTGAACTGTGGAAATCAAGACTGATGTGCAGGGCACTCTCACGGGTTCTACTTAGTTGCAGGGGGGGCTGTCGTCGACAGCCCCCATGCAACGGAAGGTGAGCACCCGAAGAAGACGTGAACACACCACTAACGCTACAGGCACTTATATAAACATGCCACAGACATCACTTGAGTAGACATGATGGAGCTTTTTGTGGGTGAAAGGAGCTATCATCGACTCGTGCGACACCCAAACGGGATGCCAATATTGCTGTACTTTGCAACCTGGATTCGCCTTGGCATGTCCTGACAACATGCTCGTTTACGGTTTTGCCTGTCTATCCGAAGACATATTGGTGTGCAACAATACGCTACACATGTTGACGAACTAAGAGAAGCTGCTGGGACTTCAGCAACTCGGCGCCCGTAAGCCAACCCTAAGGAGTGTTACTAGCACTACTGTGAGGGTCGCTTCAATGATACTACTACGCGTATTCTACTGGGAGGAATCGGAACTCGTGGTTTTTGGCGCCACTGGCGGGTAGGTAGGAGTAATACTGCAAATACGAGCAGGAGGAGGCTGGTCAGGGATATTCTGCCCACGAAGGCTTCAGTAAGAAACTGCTTCCGACCCAGGAGGCGATAGAGAAATCTGACATTGGGTTTAGGGTTCAGGGTTGCAGACTTTGGATTTCAGGGTTCATAGTTTGACTGTGGTTGAGGGTTGGGGGTTTGCCGCCGACTGCCAAGTCTTTTCCGGCCAGACGAATTATTGTGTGGGTGGGCGGAGATTTTACGCGCACAGGGCTGTGGCTAGCAGGCCAAGCACCGTGACCTTAAAGACGCCAGATTTAAGGTTTAGAGTGTTGAGGGGTTTAGGGCTTTAGGCGTTTATGGTTTAGGGTTTAGCCGAGACAATCTTTGCATAACATGATCCAAATTGCTGATGGACAACACCCTGCATGATCCATAGCAAAGAGTACACCCAACATCCCGTGCATGAAGCCGTTTGAGGTACTTGAAACAGTGATGCGAGATTTCGTGCATCAACAGACTACAGGTTGCTAGCCCCTGCTCAAGGCCGCGTCGAAGGACCTCTCGTCTTCTTCCGACAAGAGGCGGACGTCCGTGCGGTAGAGATCTGCCAACGACGAACCGAGGGATGCCCTGTGATTCGGAGTAATTAGTTTGCCGCTCTTGCTTCGGTTGTTTATGAACTTGGAGCTTAGAGTTCAAGGCTCGCCTCTGCTTCAGAGTTTCGAGTCCAAGGCCCGGGGTTTGGGATTCAAAGCTCAAGGCTTAGGGCTCAGGGCTTCGTAGGTAGGTCCTAGGTTTAAGGCTTGGGGGTTGATGATTCAAGGTTTCGGTGTAAACCCGAAAAGACCTTTCTTCAAGCATTTTGGCTCAAGTCTGGTTATTTAGGGCTTCTAATAAAGTTTGACGGGTATTCCGCATCTGGAGATCGTGCCATCTGGATAGAGGCACTGGGTGGTGTAACCCTAAACTCTACTGTCGGTAGTTACCGATCAACCTTTCGGTTTGGTTAACTTATGGCACTGAAGCTTACGTAGTGCTGGGCTCAATTGCGGCATTCAGAAGATTCTTGAAGCTTTGTTCCCCATAGGGTTTCGCGAGATGTAGCTTTCAGGACGCAGCGCGCACAAGAAAAAAACTCCGGCAACCGACGATGCACTCTTTGCTGATAGTCCTCAAATCTTTTCACTCAAAACTGTATTCGTCAGGCCACCTGTTGACCAATTCCCACCCCTATCAGGCTCGAGTCATTGTGTGAATTGGCCTTCTGTGGGACGTTTTCCAAATTGGGGTCCGCCTGGGGACCCTCCTAGTAGCAAGGATCCTATATACAGGACCAGAAAATACGGAACTATCCAGCGCATTTCACCCAGACCCATAACCAAGCGCTGCCACGGAGCGATCTTCTCCCCAGGAAGCGTGGCGTTGATGCAATGGGGTTCCGAGAGGTGCTATGCCAGACCCTGAAACTTCAAAATCCCTTCATTATAACTTCAGGGTTCAGGGTGCTATATGGTCACTGTACAGACTGCAGTTGCCCTCCCAGGAGCATTCCTTGATTCAGGCGTTAGTTGGGAGTCTCCGGTAAGGTCATCGCTTCACGCCTTCGTTGGGTGCTTCAAGTTGCGGAGCCGGTGGGTCTCGATTTCACTCTTGGCCTTGATGGCTTAGGGAATTAAAGCTTAACCTTTGGGATTATATAAGGATTATAGTACCCCAAGAAGGGAAATGGTTGCCTATATACTCTACTATGACATGATGCTCTCCCGTGTCGCTACGCCTTCTCCCTGGGAGCCTGAGATGCTTCGCTGGGCTCCTGCCAGTCTTACGAGACCCTAGAGCCCTAAACTGCTCCTGGGTTATTGAGGACGGCAATGCGACTACTACGCGAGATCATCCGACCTGGGCTCTAGGAGCCAGCAGTAAGGTTTTGGCGGGACAGCACCATGCTTAGCTTCCCTGACATCCTGACCCCAAAGGCCTTAAGCCTGAACTCTAAGGCCCCATTTGCTTTTCGTCAAGCCAAGCCCCAAAAAAACCCTCAATGTGGAAAAGGCCCCTATACACCCCTAAGAGCCCTTAGCCCGAGGCCCCCCTAAACCCTAAGGGCCCTTAACCCTAAGCCTCTTCAACCCTGAGCCCCCTAAACCCCCAAGGGCCCGGAAGCCCCAATTGCCGAACTTTTCCAGGGACCTGCGCCCTGTCAGGGGGTTTCTGGAAGTGTCAGCGCTCCTGTAAGGGTACACCGGCTTCGGGCTTAATTAGGAGTTAGGCCTTCGGGTTTAAAGATTTAAAGTTCAGGGTTTAGGGTTTAGGAATATATCATACAAAGCCCGAAACCCTCAACCCTGCATGCACATGAGCCTTTTTTGGGTGGCACGGGTGTCGCATCACTCAATGCACAAAGCGAATTACGAAGCTGTGAAGAGTCGGCGGTAAGTTGACGGTCTAGGGCCTAGAGTCTAGTGAATTATCATCAGTTTTGCTGGGTTTGAAGGAGTATGGTTTAGGGTTTAGGGTTTAGGGTTTCCTAAACCCATTTGCCAGACTGGGGCGGCCGCATCCTGGTACTTCTCTTCTGGATGCGACGGGCTACGAGTGAAACTGGGACCTCGAAATCTACCCTCAACCCCGACCTAAACCTCCAGAGGTAGATCATAAGATCATATACCATATAGCAAGAAGTATACTGGCTTAATACAGGAGCCACCCCGCACATGGTATCTATGGTCTCCTATATTGAGCGGGCAAAAACATCCCTTTCTCGCTTCCGCCTCGCACACTAGGCAGCGGTGTCTTGAGAAGCCGCCATGATGCAGACATGACTCGCCAGGAATACGTCACGAATTGGCGGAGCTGGCGTAAAAGGGCTTAGGGTTTACAAGGCGAGAGCGATGCGGAAGCCGGTCTCAGCGGAAGCTGCAATCGGATTGTCTACGGGACCGACTTTCCAGAGCTTCTGGCGTGAAACTTCTTTTGGGCCCAGGGAGAAACCTTGTATGGGAAAGACCTCAAAGCGTGGGCCTTGCCCCAAGATAAGATCGGGACCTGAATGCTTCGACAGTGGGTTAAAAAATTGACATTACGTGGTTCAGTGTTGGTCTACGGCTTCTGGGTACCTCATCATTACATATACTCATACACTGATATAATAGTACTTAGTATGGTACTATGATGCAATTATTAGATTCAGGCCCTGGCGGCCACTATTGGTGCATCGCTGAACGGAGTATGGAAAACAAACGAGCCTGTTCTTTTGTCTTACTCCCTGTGCTCCGCAGCATCGACTGATGCACCAAAGTGCCGGCCTCAGAACTACATCTTCACGACGACAACATGGTTGAACTTCCGAACATCATCTGCGAGGGCCTCTCAGAAGAAACGCGGGGTCGAAATTGCAAGCTGCAAACACCCCGTGGGCACCGCCTGGCCTTGACACCCTCGTCCCCGATCATGTTTCTTCTGAGGTTGACGTGGGCGACCGTACAGTTGGACTTCAAGGCATCTGCGAGTGCCTCTCAGCGGAAACGTGGGGTCGAAATTGCAAGCTGCAAAAACCCCGTGGGCAACGCCTGGCCTTGGCACCATCGTCTCCGATCATGTTCCAAAGGAGGTCGATGTCGGTGACCGTACAGTTGGACTTCAAGGCATCTGCCAGTGCCTCTCAGACGAAATGCGGGGTCGAAATTGCAAGCTGCAAAGACCCCGTGGGCACCCCCTGGCCTTGGCACCCTCGTCCCCGATCTTGTTGAAACCGAGGCTGATGTCGGTGACCGTACAGTTGGACTTCAAGGCATCCGCGAGTGCCTCTCAGAAGACAGCGGGGTCGAAACTGCAAGCTGCAAACACCCCGCGGGCGCCGCCTGGCCTTGACGCCCTCGTCCCCGATCCTGCTGCAACCGACGTTGACGTGTGTGACCGCACAGTTGGACTTCAAGGCATCTGCGAGTGCCTCTCAGCGGAATTGCCGGGCCGGGCTCATCGTCTCCGGCTTGGTTTCTACCGAAGTTGACTGCAAATTACATCCGAATTCGTCAGAACATTTGGAACGTCTGCGAGAGCCTCGCGACAGGACTCCAGCCACAAAAAAGTAAGAACCTACAAAAAAGTAGGTTTTGGTAGTTTAAGGTAGGTGACTGCAAATTACATCCGAAATCAGAACATTTGGAACGTCTGCGAGCCTCGCGACGGGACTCAAGCCACAAAGACATTAATTCTCGATGTTGGTGAATGTACGGCTGATCATCGACTGCGAGCATACCGGTCTAAGGCTGCAATGTCCCTGCGGGCACCGCGCCTGGCAGTCCTCCGCCGTGATGTCGAGTTCTAGACGGGTGGTGCCGCTGTTGGTCGCCAGCTGAGCCGCGAGGCCCTGGCACGGGAACTATACTGTGCATCTAAGCACGTCGGACTCTGCCCGGAGAACGGCACAGCAGTCCTTGATGCGCACTTTCCCCGTCCAAGCCTCGGCGGAGCTCCGCTAAGCATGGTTGGGGGAAGGCTCATTTGCGGCTCTGACAGTGCAGTCCTGCCGTCCTGCCCCGCCCCCTCCCCCCCACAGACCACCGTCTCATGTGTAACGGGTTGTTGTTTCGTTTTTTGTGGGAACAGTCAACCTGCCCTGCGAAGGGTACTCAGGCAGCAGATGCTCTCCAGAGGAACCAAGCACTTGCAATCAGCGATGGGCGTCAGTGCCGTCAGTGTATAAACACATCGAGACCTCATCGCTGGGACCCACCCAGCAAAGGCCAACGGGCACGCAGTGTGCAACACAGATTCGGGTCACTACTCGGCCACCTCGCCCCGGCTGATGTGCCCTCCAAGGGCTCTGCCTCGTTTGTAAACCAGTTCCGGCAAGAGCCTGCTGTTTCCGGAGTTTCGGAGGTGCTGAAGATCCGTATGTCGTAGACCCCGGCGCACGATGCACATAACAAATAGGCAGGACCCTGCTATTTGGAGGATGCTATAGGGCTGCTAGGGCCCCGACCTGGG